TAGCTTATTATCTTTTTTACGAGCTAGTTAATAATAAGCTATTAAATTAATCTTAATAATATCGATAAACTTATTCTTACTTAATAAAGAGATATTTAAATTACTTTTATTATTATAAATAGATAAAGAAAGATCTTATTATTTTAGTATAATAGATATATAAAAAAATAGATAATCGAAGCTCTAGAGTAGATAGAAAAGAAAGTTCGTTTATTATTAATATTTTATTATTATTATAATTATATCAATCGAGTAAAAAGAGTATCTTATTTTATAATATATCAAGAATTACTTTATACTTATTCATCTAAAATTTTTTAATTATTATATTATATTTTAATAGTATAATTAATATTAAATATATTTCTTTTTAATAGTTTTTTATTATTATTATAGAAAGTAAATAATATATAATTAATTATTTTGCGATTTAGTCGTTATAATTTCTTAATAATTTAGATCTTAATAGTAAAAGTAGCTCTATATATAAGACTTTATATATTATTAAAATTAGAAACTTATTTATAATTATATAAGTATTAATATATCTATTATCTATAAAAAAGTTTTTAAATAAATACTCTCTTTTTTATAAAGATAGCGTAATTTATATATAGAAAGAATAACGTACTAAAACGTTATTAGAAGTATCTATTAAATATACTTTATAAATATCTCTTATTATAATTTTAAAAGAAATTATTTATTTTTTAAATTTAAAGAAGAATCGTCGCTATTTATAATATCGATATTATTAATTTTAAATTCTTTATCTATTTTTATCGTATAAAGTTATACTTTTTTAAAGGTCTTTTATTAGTCTTAATTTAGATAATTATTATATAATTCTTTTAATAGTAATCTTTCTTATTATAATTATAGTATATTAATTTTATTAATTTTAAATTAATTATAATATTTAAAAACGTAGTAATTATATTAAAATTAAATTTAATAATAAATATAAAGTATATATTAGTCGTAGATAATATTATTAATATTTATATTATAATTAACTTAATAGTAATTTTTATAAACTTAAAATTCTTATACTTAACACGTTATAAATTATTTAATTTTTAAAAATATTCTTTTATAATTTTTAAGATAGTAAAATCTTCGACGATCTACTATAACTCTCTTAATTTCTTTTTTAATTTTTTAAAAAGATAATTCTCTAATATAAGAGTTTTCTTAATATTAAGAATAATATCTAATTAAATAAAGTTTAAATAGAAATTAATAAAAAAGAAATTAATAAAAATTCGAGTTTTTTATTATAGAGTATATATATTATATAATATATTATTATATCGATTTAAGTTCTCGTAAATATCGATTAACTTATTTATAATCTTAATAAAAGATTAATATAAGTTAATAGAGTTTTAAAATCTTCTATATATTATATATTATATAATCTTATTATCGAGTTATAAGATTATATAAACTATTTTAAAATTCTTAATAAAATAATAATCGCTATTAATCTTAAATTTCTATTCTATTCTAAAGAACTAATTATTTTAATTAAAATTATTATCGTTAATAAATAGAGATAAATCTAAAATCTTAATTAATTTTTCTTTTAAATATTTAGATATATATTTCTTCTCGATTAAGAATAGTCGTAAATCTTTTATTAACTATATCTTAAGATTATTAACTTTTCGCTATAGAAAAATTATATTCTTTTAAAAGTCTTAAGCTAGTTAATTTATTTTCTTAATTATTCTATAAATCTAAAATAAATTATTTATAATTAAATAAAAAATAAATTAATTATCTATTTAAAATTAAGTAATAAAAAATAATTATAAATAGAAAATATAATTTAAACGTTTAAATAATTTCGATTAATTTTAAAAAGTATTATATATTAGCGATATTTTATATTCTAATAATACTTCTTTATATAAAGTAGTAAAAAAATAAATTTAAATAATTAAATTTAATTTTAAAGAAGATTTTAATATATTAAATTAGATTAAAAAAGTAAATAATACTTTATATAAAAAATTAATAATTAATTTTAATAATTTTAATAATTATTTTAGCGAAAATAATAAGCTTATAAAAAGTATTTTATGAAGTTTAATATTTATAAATTTATTAAGATATATTATTAATACTCTATAAAATTATAAAGAAATAATTAATAGATTTATAATTAGAGAGAGTTAATAATAATAGATTTAATCTTTATAAAAAGATTTAAAATAATTTAAAAGATAACTTTCTTTATAAATAATTAAAAATATAATTAGATAGAGATAGATTTAGAATATTTAAAATAATTATAATAGAGTAAAATAGACGTAAGATAGAGAATTCGAGAGAAGAATAAATATAAAATTTATTAAGTTTATTTAACGCGTTAAGATAAAAGTATAAATAGAGATAATTATAAAATTTTATTCTTATAATATTTAAAGATTTAAAATTTAGAATATTTTATTATAATTTAATTTTAATAAGAAGAATAAAAATATTTATAGTTATAATTATTATTCTAATTATTAATATTAATAAGAAGATAAATAACTATATTAAATTACTCTTTATGTTTCTACTCTCTTAATAAAGAATATTAAATAATTTTATATATTTAATCGAATTATTCTATAAATATAGAAACTTTAATTAAAATATTTTATATATATATTATCTCGTAATATATATTATTAAGATTTAAAATCTAGATTTAAAAAAAGATATAATATTTAACTCTATTTATATTATATTCGAATATAATATAATATTACTTAAAATAAAATATCTTATAGAATATATTATATCTTTTCGCTTAATAAGCGTAATAAAAAAAATTAAAAAGAGTTTAGAAAGAGATATTTAAATTCTTTTATTAAATTATAATTACGATATTTAGTTTATATAAACTAATAAATCTACTTTTAAATTAATATATAAATTAAATATTTTATTTTAAATATTTAATTAGCTACTAATTTAGATAATACTTTATATTAAATAAAATATTATAAAGATAATAATAAGTAAAAGATAAGAGCTATTAAATATAATTACTAGATATATTATAAGTTAAATAATATAGATAGAAAAACTCTTTATTAAATTTCTATATTTCTATTCTATATTTATACTTTATCTATTATAAAGTAATTAATCTAATAAAGAAATAAATTTAAAATATTAAACTTAATAAGATAAACTTAACTTTAAAAGAATTTTCTATTAAATATAAAAAGAGTATAATATAATTTTCTAAGAGATTTCTTTTTTTAAAGCTAGTTATTATAGTATTAACGTCTTTAAATAATTAATAAATTTAAGTTATAATCTCTCTAGATATTTATATATATAATTATCTTTAGAATATTATTATTATCTCTATAGAGTTATAATATTAAATTATAAGATATATAGAAAAATAGAATAAATAAGATTTAAGAAATATAAAGAGATTAATTTCTTATATTATTATCTATAGAATTTATAATTAACTATATATATAAATTTAAGATTTTCTAGCTTAGCTCTATCTTATTCTTTTTCATATATTAATATATCTTATATCTTATAAATTTTAATCTCGATAGATAATAATTTATAAATCTATATCTCTAGAGATAATAACTTATAAACTCATATCTCTATAAATGATAGCTTATAAATTTATACTCCTTTGAGGCATGGAAATATAAGAAAGAGTATAAACTTGTAAGGATTTTATAGTTTGGGGCATGAACTTGTAAATTGCCCCTTTTTCGCTATGAACATATCTACTTGTAACGTAATGTCAGATCTGTATATGACTCCATGACTGAGAGCACTAAAGCGTCTATAAATGCTCCAAAGCTTAACTGCTTAACTTGCGCCTTCGCAAATACCTTATCCGGCCTTTAGAAGAAAGAGACGCGGAACTTCTGCATACAAAGCTAACGACCCGGAGAAATAAAATGGCTCCGAAACACATTCTCACAATCATGGAGTGCTGGGAATACTGCAAAATAGAATCCAGTAGCTACGTCTCTGGCGCCGCTTCGCGAACTTGTAAATATCGGCTAAGTAATAAGATAGTACTTGGCAGCGTTAGTTTGATAATACGAGGCGATTTCCGCGATACAGCGGTGGGGCTTGATTCTTGGCCTCGCAGACACAATTAGCGATTCGACAGTGAGAGAGAAACTGTTTCCGCATTCCAAATTGGTAGCTCGGAAAATATAACCGAGTTTTGACATCAAAAGCCGAGGTCTTAGAGGGCAATAAGGGAAGTCCTTGAATGCGTGAGAAACCGATCGATTTGTTCGAAGCTAGAGAGACGGCGGCGCTTGGGAAATAGGGTTTTTTTAAGAACTCGTCAACGTATTGCGAATTCAGACAGGGCAACTAGAGCATTGTTCTCTTCACATAAAACAGACTCAAGCATTGTCAAGGATAGTCCTTTCTGTCATATCGTATTGTTTGTTTCTTGACTACCTTGATACTACGTATGATGTGTTTAATCGAGATACAAAGCAGATGAAAGGCCGGTAAACCCTTCTTCTATGACAAGAGTCTCTTCAGGGTCCCTCGATGACATGTATGGAAGGTACACGGAAGCTGCACGAACTTGATATCACGCAACCACTCTGTCTAGCGAGATACTTCCGCTGCCATGTGGTGGGACGCCGGCCGATTTAAAGACCTCGAGGTGTTTTTTGAGGGCTGAGAATGAGGGGTCGATGTTCGTTGTATGGATTTGTTGCTCTATAGCAACAGGAAAGGTGATTCTCCTCTGCTATCTTTCCGTCCCTCCTCTCATCGATCGAGTGGTAAAGTAAATCTTCTTCCCACAGCTAAGGATCTCGGTCGGAATGTAGCGTCTGCGCCAGAAAGACAGACAATATGAAATTTCAAGCTTCGAGGGTTCTCGAAAAAGTTCTGGCGAGCTGTAGTTCTGACATCTGAGATTACCTGTGAGATAGGAGCACGCTTGTGTCTTGGTAGAGTAGCCGCAGGGACATTCGCTCATTGTATCACATGTCTTCCACGCTATCCACAGTCGACAGACCCTCCTCTTTATCTCGCCTGACATTCGTGCGTCCTGGATCTCCCCACGCACCTTCATGCTCCACTAATGTCGTCTCCGCGAATTGTGAATGCGGTAGTGAGGATTTGATCTTTCGCGGGCAAAGGGTGTCTCCGGAGCTTACTGGATCGGACCGTTGCCGTCGGGGCGTAATGTTTTTGCCGCCATTGTCAAGCGGCTCCTTCATAGGCGAGAATCGATCCCAGTGGAAGCGGCCAGACCTTGGTGTCTCCGGGACTACCTTGTCAAGCGATATCGGGCTTATTGATGAAGCCGTCGAGTCCATTGCTGAAGCCCCGTAGATAACAGAAAGGATTGGTGGATGTAATGCTGAGGTGGAAGATGTGATACGTGAAGTCGGGCTGTTGCTAGCTTCTCGGGATGCCTTGCTAATTTCCTGGAATGCCTCGCCGATTTCTTCCAATAGATTCGGGAGGTCGAGAAAATTTACGGACAGCGTGGGTTCAGTGGGACCATAAACCTGGGGGGCGACGAAAGCGCGCGGAAGAGGTGAGGAGAGAGCAAGCGACCCTACAGGCCTCTGTACATTGTCTAACCATCGCGCGGTAGCTTCGAATCGCGAGATAGGAATTCTGGGGCTTCTAGATTCCCTTTCATTTCCATTCAAATGAGCTGCGATCCTTTCCTGCTTTACTATGGCTGTCTCCGCATCCACGGTCTCTGTATTCGTAGAACTTGAGTCTTGCCTGAAATCGGAGGCAATCGTATGTGCGTATCCTGGTGTAACCGAACGGGTTGCTATGACCTCTGGTATTGCTGAGTCATTCTTCGCTTTGACGGTATCTCTTTTCGCAGACGCTGAACGTTGGTTGGGTTTGGAAGTAATAGAGCCAGTGAATCTAGATAGATAATAAGCTAAGAGGCTATAGCATTTGAGGAAGGAGTTGGGATCATAGTTGAGAGATTGTCGGCTACTTACGCCCAGTCGAGAATGAGGAAGGATAATGCAACCGAGCTAAGGAGCCATGGAACAAGTTCCAGGATTCCATCGAAGCTTACAACTCTTTGGAGATTGTATTGTAAACCGGAATCTAAGATCGAATAGCATGACACAACGGCGAGGGTAGTTAGTGCTTTGCAAAGAAGTGCAGATAGGAGAATAAGGACCGTGGCCCGTATATGGCGGCTCATTATGTAAAGCCTCGATTTGAAGAAATCGACGAGGTAGGTTTCACAATGAAGAGCAGCTTACCATTGCGCCATTAGGGAGGTTTAGCATTATTTACGCAAAAAATTCTACACAACACCAGTGGCCCTACCCGTCCCGCGCTACTCGTTTCCACCCCTAGTTACATACTCTAAAATCCGATAAATTCAACGTAATATTAAAATCTCTATCTTTTATTAAATTTATATAATAAACTAGTATAATCATAATAGTATTTTATTTCTATTAAGACTTTATATTAAAGAGTTTAAATTCTTATTATTTAAATTTAATTAATCGATTATTCCTTTAAAAAAAATTACTTTCTCTTTTTTTCTTCTTTTTTTTCTCTTTCTTCTATCTCTTCTATCTTATAATATTAAATTTTTTTAATAAGATTTTTAATAAAACTCGTTATTATAATATAATAAAATTTATTATATTATTATTATTACGAGTAAAGAACTATAAATTAAATTTATAATTATTTTTTTAATTAGAACTATCGAGTAAATAGATAAGCGATCTTTAATAAGCGAACTTTAATGAGCGAAGTTTGAATTCCTTACGCTTTAATAATTATAAGACTAAAATTTGAAATTCTTTTTTTATCTGAAAGCCCACGTTTCGTTCTATAATTTAAAGGAAATGTCTTAGAATTTTAATAGAAAGAAGTAAAGTTATTAAAGAGTTAAAAGTAGAATAAGAGATTTTAATAGTTACGAACGCTAATTTATTTATCCGCGATAACTTAGTCGATTTAATTAAAGAGCGTAGTAACTCTAAATTTATAATTAGCTATATATATAAAATTAGATTTTTTAAGCTTAGCTCTATCTTATTCTTTTATATATACTAATTCTAATAATAAAGTAAAAGCTAATACTATTAATATAATTATTATAAAAGATATAATAGTCTTATTTATTAAGTTTTTATCGTTTTTTATATTAATTAATTACTTCTAAAAAGACTTAAAATTAATTTTTATTCTTTATTTTTATATATTTATTTATATTAAATTTTATTCTTTTTTATTACTTTTTATTTATAACTATTATAATCTTAATCTATCTTATAATCTTTATTTATTTTATTTATTTTCATCTATTTTAATATAACTTAATAAAGATTATATATTATTAAGTTACTTTTTTTAAAAAAAAGATAATACTTAAAGTATACTTATTAGAATAGATATTAGAAATTAAAGTTTTTAAAAAATATAAGTAAGATATAGTTAATACTATAATAAAGAAAGATAAAAGAAGTAAAGATAAAGATAATATATATATAATTAAAAAGAAAGAGATAATTAAAAAGATAATAGTTTAATTAAATATATTATAGAAAAAATTTCACGCGAAGAGTATAAAGAGAAATATAATAGTTTAAATTTAAATAGCGATTATATTTTATAAAAATTAGTAGAAATATATTATTTAAAAACTTAAACATTTTTCTATAAAAATAATTTAACTTTAATAATAGCGTTTATATAAAAGAAAAGATATCGCTAAATAAATTACTTATAAAGAAATAAATTGAAAAGCTTTTAAGTATTTATAAATAATTAAAAAAGTATATTAAATAGAGATTTTTTTTTATATCTAGCTAATATAAAGATAACTCGTATAAAAAAATACTTAGAAATCTAATAACAATTTAATTAATACTTTCTAAAACTAGAATTTAAAATTTAAAAAGAGTAAAATAGCTAATAATTAATTAACGAATATCTAATAGTAATAGTTAAGAATAATTAATATTTTATATAAGATAACTTATAGCGATAAATAAAATAAATAAAATAAATAATAGAAATTTAATAATAAGAATAAGAATAATAAAGATTAAAAAGATTTTAAAATATAATATTATATAGATAAAGATATTATATAAAATAGCTAAGTTTATATAATATTATTTCTAATAGTAATATAAGAGTATAAATTATAATATATAATATAAATAGATAAAGTTTAATTAAAAGAAAGAATAAAAACTATTAAAATACGATAAATAGATAATATTTAAGTAAAAACAATAATAATAAAAAGTAGAAGTTTTAATTCTTATTTAGAATTAATATTATTAATTTAAGAATATTAAAGTATTAAATTATAAATAAAGTAATAGAGAATAATAGAATATAAATAATTAACTAATATAATAAATAATCTTTTTAATTTAATAGTTTAAATATTTTAAATAAAAATATATATTTATATATTTTAATAATAATATATGAAATTTAATATATAATAAAATATATAAAATTTGAAATTATAAGAAGCTAATATCTTTTATTTTTAAATTTTAAATTTTATATAAAAAAAGAATATATAGTCTTTAATAATAATTATTTATTAAAAATTGAAGAGAATTAGAGAGATATATAGAGTATATTTTATAAAGCCTTATTATATTATTAAATGAAAACGCTATTAATAAGTTTTATTAAAGATAAAAAGCGTTTATATTAATAAGATTTAAGAAGAAATAAAATATATTATTTAATATAATTAACTTATATATAAATTTATATATTATAAAAAGTAAGATATTAGAACTATAAAAAGGTTTCTATTAAAAGAAAAAATAAATATATTATAAATATAAATATTATTAAAGTTATTAATACTTTAATAATAAAGATAGTAATAAGCTTTATAAATAGATAAATAATAATTTAAATTTTAAAAGTTTAAAGTTAAATTAAGATTTCTATAAAAAAAGATATTATAATATATAATTTTAAACTAAGAAATTTATATTAGACTTTTAATAGAAAGAATTTCTATAAGATAATATTAGATAAGAATAGTAGCTAATAATTACTTTAATTATAAATTAAATATTTTAACTATATAGAAATTATACTTTATAAGTTTACTATTTTTTTATATAATCTTAATATTAGCTTTTTTTATTTAATATATTAATCTAAGAAGATTATAAGAATATACTTCTATAATAATAAAAAGCTCGATTAAAATTAAATAAAAATTAAAATCTATTAAGAAATATATAGTTAAAGAAGAAGAATAGTAGAAATTTATTATAAATAGTCTCTATTTATAATATATATATATACGCTATATAATAGAGATGAAAACCTCGATAGAGATTTTAGAAAGATTAAGTTTCAAATAAGACTTTAAAAAAAAGTCTTAAGTTCCTCTAAAATTCTATATTATCTCGATCTCGAAGAATAAACTTTAAATATCTTTAAATAAATTTTAAATTTAAATATTATATTTTAAAATTAAAGTAGAATAAATTATAAATTATAAAATATAATCTAAATTAGAGTATAAGATATAGATATTAAAAGATATAATTAAAAGATATATAAGACTATATTTAAAGAGATATTATAAAGATATTATAAGATTATTATATATATTAACTATTTATATATTTATTTATATATTTATAAAGAGTAATTACGATCTACTATATAGATATTATTTTATATTTCTTTAATCTCTTATTAATCT